AAACAAAGTTTAATCAAGTAAATTAAATCACATGTTAAGAAGAGATGTAAGTGGTGAGCTATAACTTGTTCCATAATTAGCTATTATTGCTGCTTTGAGTCCAAGGCTCTCAGCTGCACGTGAAGAAACGAAAGTTTATTTAGAATATTTTTAAGCAATTCTATATGTACAGAACAAAGAGATCAACATTAAAAAATCTTACCCTCATTGATTATTTAAATTCAGCATTTAAACAAATGGTGTTTCTAATCAAGAAACCATCGACAAGATTAAAAAAAAAATTGTCTATGAAATCAGTGAGACATGATACTATGTCCAAGCATAATCTAGCTAATCACCTGGTAAAATTCTTGCTGGAGCACCATTAATGGCTATAAGTCCAACAAAGGCTAGAGTAGTAGCAAGGAGGAGAGCCCTCGTCATTTGGGCTCTTCGTATTCTTTTGCATGTTAAGTAATATTCTAAAAAACGTGGGAAAATATTGTTTTCCATGCTAGTACTCATTAAAAAAAAAAAACAAAAAACAAATCATTATTGAATATCATATTGATTTGGTTTTTTAGTCATTCTTTTTTTTAATTTTTTTTTTTTGCTCTTTTATAGACCTAAATTAATGGTCGGTTAAAGCATATTTATTAAAAAAAAGCAAGATTTAAAAATAAAGGATTAAAATGACAAACATGAGAACAGACAATGAATTTGATAAAAAGAAAGTCAAATGTATATTTTAGTCATGAAATTTTTTAGATTATATGCATTTTATCCCTAAAAATTTATGAATTTTAATTTTAATCTCAAACTTTATTTTTCTAAATTAATTGATGGTCAATTAAAGCATATTTAGTAAGGAAGAGTAAGATTAAAAAATAAAGGATTAAAATAAAAACATGAATAAAAGAAATGAATTTGATAAAATTGAGGCTAAATGTATATTTTAGTCCTCAATTTTTTTAGATTATAAGCTTTTGGTCCTTAACAATTTATGAATTTTAATTTTGATCTTAAGCTTTATTTTTCTTATTTTTTGGTTCCTAATTTGAGAAGAAGATAGGTAACAAATGGATTTTGATAATAAATAAAAAAAGTCTCGGTTAAGATCGCTTTCGGCCATAAAAATATGTGATTTTCATTTTAATGAGTTTCTTTTAATTAAATAAATACATAAATTTTTTGAATTCTACTTGATAATTTTTCTATGTTGAAAAAAATGCTATAAAAATCTATTTATACACTTTTTTTAAAAAAAAAATATTAGAAGAGCAAGTGAAATAACAATATGACCCTAAAGCATGTTGGTATGTGTTATTTATAAACCTTTACATAAGCATATGTTGCAGTGTTGAAGGTAAACGTCCACATCAACCTCGACTTGTTATTTGATATTAAAATAAAAAATTGATACTATAAATATAATTACGATTTGGGCTTAATTTGATAAAAAAAACTTAGTTATTGGTCTTGATTATCAAGTAAACTTGTTAATATTTAATTTAAATTAATTTTTTTATTAAAATAATATTATTTTATATTTTTCAATTCTTTAATCTTAACTTGTTGAGAAAATATTAAAGTTGATCGAATCAATTAGGTTATAAGTTAACTTGGTTAGGTTAATTAAGTTTTATTGAATAAATATTTTTTTATTTAAATTAAAAAATCAATTTAAACTAGATTTAGAATCATAAATTTCATAAATTAACCTGCCAAATCAAACAAGTTTTAATAGTTATAATAAGATAAATTATTTAATTTAATTCAAAATAAATCAAAAATAAAACAAGATAATTATCTATCCAAGTCAAGATAATTATTTATCCAGTATAATCTAGTTCAATTCAGTGTAGTCCAACCAATATTGTTCAACATATTAAACACTGCCTGATAACTGAAGCAGCTCTCTCCAAATATTATACATAACTATAGCATATATACTTGATATAACCTTAATTCACTGCTATATATCCATGTAAACTAACATAGGCAGCCAGTGTAATAATTCTTTGTTTAATCTCAGTCACAGTGAAATTTAAGATCTTTTATAGCTTTAAAAGTTTGGTCTACATCCATCAAGTTAATCTCATGCTTATTCGCTAATTAATCTCTTCTCTTCTAGTTAACTATCCATTCAATTAATTAGATGACCCCGTAGAGGAAATTACTAGCCAACTCAAGTTGAAAATACATTTTGCCCTGGTGGTGGTCCTGCATGCACTTTCGGTTCAAGATCAAAGGTTATCTGACGTGTAGGAGATGCTGGCTTTGGAGATGGAGGTGAACTTGGTACTGGTCTTTCAAGATTTGTTATCATAGAAATGCACCCATCAGTGCATGGAGACCCAATCTCAAGCTGGGCTTTTGGTGATGCAGGTTTCGGGGGTGGAGGCGGTGATGGCGTGGTCCGTCCATAACTAGGCGTCACTTGACCGATTGATGGATCAGCTTTCGGAGACTCTGGCGGGGGAGATGAATACTTCTCGTAATTGCCCGTTAATTCCGTGGTTCCTGGTGAAGGGATCGGAGATGGAGGTGGTGGGCTATAAGTTCCTCCATAATTAGCTAGTGTTGCTACTTCGAGTCCAAGGCTATCTGCATCACATGAAGAAACGAAAATTTATTTAGAATATTTCCAAGCAATTCTATATTTCCAGAACAAAGAGATTCAACATTCAAAAAATTTAATCTCTTTAATTATTTAAGTCCATCATTTTAAACAAATCATGTTCGAATCAAGAAACAATTTGTAAGATGAATAAAATTCTATGAAATTAGTGAGACTTGATGATATATCTAAGCATAAGCTTGTTAATCACCTGGTAAAATCCTTGCTCGAGCGCCATTAATGGCTATAAGCCCAACAAAGGCTAAAGCAGTGGCAAGGAAGACAGCACTCGTCATTGGGCTCTTCGTATTCTTAAGCGTGTAATGTATGACACTAAAGCATATTTGGTATGTGCTATTTATATAGAGACCTTGTACATGTGAATGTGCTGCTGTGTTGAGTAAGGAGGCAACCATCCACATTAAAGTCGACTTGCTACTTGATATTAAAAAATAAAAATGATACTATAGATGGCCGGGTAAATTAGATTATAATTCCTAGCTATAATATTACAATTTGGTTAATGACATAAGTCTAATTCACATGTTCGGGAGATTCGGTCTTGCTAATATTACAAGGGAAAGACTTAGCCCTTGGTCTAAAGCCATACATGGTCTTCCGCGTTCCATGTCTTTATCGGCATTGTCTCCTGGCCTCGTGTTTGAATCTCCCCGAGGTAGTGGTGGTCAACTGTAGATGGTAGGTGTGGACTTCGTACAAATGGTAGTCAGGGATGGCTTCTGTATTGAAAGTCATCCTCCACGCGAGGCAATACCATATTCTATCAATTAAGGAAGATCAAATGTGAAATTATACTATCCATTCAAACTAAAAAAAATAAAAATATTTTATAAGCTAATTTTTTATTTAATTAAAAAGTATACTTTATTAATAAATTTTATTAATTATAAATAAATATAAATTTTTTTAAAATACATAACATAATGACAAATAATTTAAAATCTGTATAATAGATTTTGAGTTCGAATTATAACATATATATATATATATATATATCTTGTAAGGTTGGATGATAACTAATATTTTATTCGTTATCTAGATTTAATAGGCTTTTCGAGAAATAGAATTTCCTCAAATAAATAAATATAAAAACTTTTAGAAAATAATTTTGTTCTTCAACCCTAATTACTCTTTAATTACATCTCTAGTTTTATCAATTGAAGTATTTAATTAAGGACTAGTCAATCTTCAGTTAGATCTTCCATCAATTTTTTCCAAATTATAGATACGGAAATGAGAATCACATGTGGTGTATTTTCGAAGATAATTACGATGACAAGCACATGGTTCGTTAAAGCTCATTTGAAATCAATATGTGGAGGTATGATGGTTTGGATGGGAATTAATATTGGAGATCATGTCATTCATCAATCATTGAAGATATATGGAATCGTTGGATATTTATCTTGATATATAATTATAAAATGAGGGCTTTTCTCTCTCAAAATTTGTTAAATTACTTGATAATTTAATTGGCTTACCATAACCAAAATCTTTCAAAAGAACTTGAAATTATTTTACTATGTATTAAAAAACTTGGGATGAAACGCTGTTTGTTTACGTAAATAATAAACCACTTAGTTTTTTTTTAAATTTTTATTTGCATCCTTTCCTTTTTGTTTTTTTTATTGTGCCTTCAAATTTTTTTTATCACCTGAGATTTTTTTTCTTCATCTTTTTTTTGTTGGATTCTTCTAAATTTATTTTCATTTTTATTCGCTCTCTCTCTCTCTTTTTATTAGATCCTTTGACTTTTCATTTAACAATTATAATTTAATTTTACAAAATTTACAATTGGTGAAAATATAAAACTGTTTTTGAAATCAAATGAAGAGATGAGATAATACATGATGGAAAAATATTAAAAAAACAATAAAATACAATATAGGAGACGTAATCAACTTTGAGTTGCAATAATTATTCACATATTTTTTTCTTTTTTCTTTTCTTTTAATTTTTATGTCACTTAATCTTTTTATTTTCAATTTAATCCTTTAACATTAAATTGATTAATTTATAATTAAGTTTAATATTTTATTTTAGTTGAATTTAATTATATAAGGCACTTGTACTGTTAAAAATATATTTTGACAATAAATTAATGTTTAATTTGATAAAATAAAATATAATTTTATTGATTTAAACCAATTAAAATCTTAAATACTCAATTTTAATTTGAAATAAATATTCAGTTGTTTTTAACAATAATGTTTTTATGTCAACTTCCCAACTCAATTTTTAATTAAAAATAATAATTTTTTGTTTATTGGCATATACAATATTCTATTTATTTTATTTAACACATATAAATTTTTGTTGTTTGGGCATAACATTTTTCTTGATGATTAAATTTTTTTTAGCAAAACCCGCATGGGTGTTGAGGAAAGCTCATAAGTATTTTATGAGTTACAAGCCATTTCAAATCTCAAACAGCGAGCTCCCGGCCTTGGGTTCATTTCCACGAGGTGAGCTATTCGACATTTATGGAACCCGGGCCTTCTTATTCTCCGCGAGGTAATTTACAAGCCTTGCCACAAAACAGTTATTCCTATCCACGTCCCCAAACAAGCATCTTATTTCCCTTGCCCGGTTTCTCCACGGTACGCCCGAGTCATCTACCATTGCCGTTCTCATTGACTCGGCCACTGATGCCCATGTAAACGATCCATCTTGCTCCTTTCTTGGTATCTCCAGCCCAAGCTTTTTTCCATGCAACAACCTTGAGTTAAGCCCTTGATCATTTAGGATTGGAAGCAGAATCAACACTCGGCCAAACGTTAGCCCCTCTATGATGGAGTTCCAACCACAGTGAGTCATAAACCCCCCAACTGAATCATGACTCAGTATTTTCACCTGTGGAGCCCATCCCCCATGTACAATCCCACGATTCTTGACTCGCTCCTGAAAGCCATCTGGTAGCATATCCAACGCGTTCTTAGTTGACCCAGGTATTTTGTTGAGTACCCAAAAGAAAGGTAACGTTGAATTCTCCAAACCAAGAGCTAACTCTTTCAATTCTTCACCACTCAAAGAAGCCTCAGTCCCTAGGGCAACATAAACTACTGAGTTAGCCTTTTGTTTATCCAACCACTCTTTGATATTACCCCACTTGAGACCATCCTTAGTATCATCTTCTTCGTTATGTTCGACTATCGGAGGCAAAAACCCGACTGGTATAATTGGTTTTTTGTACAGCTGATCGTGTAAGAGATTGAACCACTCCGGTTCAAACTCGGGAGAGCTTCTAATGATCACAACATCACTCCCTCCAGCTGCAAAACCGAACCGGATCGAATCCGACGGTCCAGTTTCATCTTCCTCTGTTTTCTCCACATACTTTGTTACCTCATGCAAACGGAAAACAATGTCTGATTCAAAAGGGATCCACTTGGGCACGACCGTGAAGTCCTCAGCTTTCGACCGGGAATCTCCAATATTCATCAAAGTTGATGGTGGCCCAATATAAGATAAACATGCAGCAGTGAAAAGACTAAAGAAGGCACATGAGATACCAAGCCTTGCTGCTACGGATGATAGCCAGTGAGAAGCATAATCGTAGAAAATCCAATCTGGTTTTGAGGATTCAAGGAAAGTCGTCAGTGGTGGTTCAAGCAAATCAAAGCCTTTCTTTAGTAACTGTTGTTTGGTGTAAGGTACGTCTGTAGATGACTCTGCACAGGATGGTAAGTTGGGTACATGAGGAAAGGGAAAAGATACTAGAATAATTTCTGAAGATAGTTGTTTTGGTATTTTAGGAAGCCTATTAAGGTTCCTGGGCGTTGATACAAAGTAGATTTTGTGACCCTTTTCAGCTAAGAGCTTGGAGAGTCGGAGAAATGGTATGAGATGTCCAGTGGCTAGCCATGGAAACATTACTACTTGCAGTCTGTTGCCGTCTTCCATGAAACTGCAGAAAGGAAAAGCAGAATTCTTGTTGATAGTATGGCAGATATTTAATTATAGCAGAAGACACTTGAAATTACTTTTTTGTCAAGCGTGACTTTGCTTTTGGAATATCACTTTCAAGGGCAAATCTTAAATCTCTCTCCCAATCATTCACCAATTTTCAACTGGCCGGACTAAAACTATTCTCAATTTTGTTTTTCTTTTAAAACTATTAGATATGCTTCTATTACGCTACCCTCTTCAACAGTATATTATTTTGCCACCAGTATTACTAAACCCGCCCGCCAGAGGCCAGTGTTCCATAGAATTGGGTGGGAGTTTAACTAGTCAAAACTTGGTTAATCTAGCAAGTTACTTGTAATCAAAATTTGGGTGAAATCTGATTTGATTTTTATAAGTTTTTTAAAATGATATTATTTTAACTTTTATTTAAAAAAATATTAAAACGATATCATTTTAAATTAACTCAATTAATTTACGACACGGGTGGATTTTATAAATACATTCTCATCCCCTAACAAGGAAAACTGTAGATGAATTAGGGAATAACGAAATGCTATTTCCAGAAGATTAATGTGTTTGCATTAAAGAAAAACTAGGAGAACTGTAGATGAATTACCAAATTGAGGTATGCATGCATGCTATTTATACATGATAAAATCAATTGAAGATTTCTATTTACCCAGAGTATCGTTGGAGTAATTTGAGGTTTGATCTTGTTTAAATTCAAGGTAGGAGAATTGGAGAAGGGAAGTTAGAAAGGGGTCAGGAGAAAATAACGGTTCAGTTAAAAACACAATATAATTATTTATTGAGATAGGAATAAATTTCCATGAAAATATTTATGCTGAAGTGACTACTAGTTTACATAATATTAAAGGTTAACAATTCAACTATCCTACAAACTCATGATATGTATTAAGGAATTGCATATCACAAGGCAGAGAAATTCTCAGTTTTCAGGAAGCTAACACAAATTCACAGGGAATAGAGATCATGCTCGTATATCACAAAGCACATATATGTTTAGCCTACCAAAACAAATCAAAGAGCAACCTTCTGTTAGGCGCAACTAAGAAGGGGCATTTATCTATTACTTTAGTTGATTTGAGGCGGCATAATTAAGAGCAAACTAGCTAACTTTTACTAGAGAATTAAGCATTGAATCACATATAGGCAACGAATGAAAAGAACAAAAATTGAATTAAGAAAAGAAAAGTCACCATTCAGCATCGATAATGAAATTTACAGTCAAGGCAAAAGGCACCTAAGATCTAAAGAGAAGCTCACTGCTACAACAAAGCATATAGGTAGAGCTTGTGCGTTACAGAGAATGGCAGTAGTAAGGAAACAGAGAAGAGAAGGAACTATCAATTACCAAAAAGAAAAGGGCCCATTTCAGAAAAAACGAAAACAAAATACAAGGAGTTAGCTCACCTTGAATGAAGAAGAGAGGAGAGAAGACAAAGGGGTTGATGAGCTCGAAATCTTAGTGGGTGAGATAGGCTTTGGGTTTTTGCAACATAATATGGCAGTCAATACAGAAGATTGCATCAACATCAGATATACATAGGGGAACCGGAAGCTCCATTAGGTCTCCAAGCAGCAAGGTGCTGGGGGCGGGAGTAGGAAGAAAATCTAGAAGACCATTACTAGGTTGAGAATTGCAAACGACAGTACAGACCACAGCTATATCAAAAGTCCCACCATAATCTTCATTCCAAGATCTCCTTCTAAAACTTGAGGGGATCTGATGATTATGGTTCACGTATCTTATGCTTGAGTTTGACTTAAAAGGCCCAGTGAAGGGGATTGGGCCTTTTCATCCCAAGCCCAAGATAAAATCTTGAGGCCTTATGAGAGATTATATATATACGAAGGAAAATGGAAGGGATTAAAATGTCATTGTCAAGCCCAGAAGAAAAATTAAAGCATTCAGAATGATGTGGCTGCTGGGATTCGAGCCCAGGTCTCCACGGCCACAACGTGGAATTCTTACCACTAAACTACAGCCACTGAACGGCCTCTTTCCCAGAATTATTTATTAGTATAGGTTTAATTCTTCTGTTTGCCTTGCTATTTCAAATTGCATTGACACGCAACTATTCTCTGCCATATTTCTATCGATCTCGACCTACATTTTAAATCAAAACATATTTCTTGCTTCTGCCATCAGCTAGAGACTAGGAAAAAAAACATATATTATGCACTGCATTTTTTGATGTGCTGCGTGGATTTTTGCTTCTGTCGATAGCTCGACTAGTGCTAATTTAGTTGTTCTTTTGTGGTGATTTCTCCAATTTATCTGGTGTTAAGTGGGTAAATGCGCATGTCGAGGAAATTATCCAGGATCGCCGGTGCAGCTGCTCATTCTCTCACTAGCCACCCCAGGTTAAATAATACTCCAGGTGAAGCAGGGGAGACTTTTGAATGCAGGAAACGGTGTAATGGACAGCTGCATTGACCGGAGCAGATTATGAATTCGGTGGCTCTGCTTGTTCTGAAGATTTGAGCTTTACACCAGATGAAGGTTCCTGTTTTCTTGCGGGTCTGATGATGAAGGAGAGGGTGTTAACTTATCAAAGAAACAGATAGAAGGAGAGGGCATTTGTTTCTCCTTGTTACTAGTGATGTTGATGCATTTAAAGCGATGGCAAACACAGTGCAGCAATATCTATCGATATGCACCATCCCTATTGGTCCACGGCAGCTAGAAAGTGTATTAATCTTTTGAATGACCTTAATGGTCTCGAATGACCATCTCATTGGCCCCAGAATGGCTGCATCTCTGACAGCCTTGTAAACAAATTCTTTTGGCACTCTTCAGTTTAAATCCCTATGTCTTCCCTGAGCTGCCTTGATGTAGCTACAGTTGGAACACCCTTTAATGCTGAAGTTAATAAAGATGGTAGGATGGAATTCTAATCAAATGGAATGAAAAGAGTTGCCCTGCATGAATGATATAAAAGAGCAATGGCATCAGTTTGTCAACAAATTGGCGTCAACGAAATCGCTGGAAAAAAAATGTGAGAAGGAGCAGAAAAGAATTTCCAGAGAAGGATCCGGATTCAGTTGTGAGGGACCTTCTATCTATGATTGGTTCTGCACACGAATCGCCAGCTATTCCTGGCAACATATCAGAGGAAGGTAAGGATTTTCTCCGGTGTTGCTTTGCAAGGAATCCTGCACGGAGATCAACAGCAAGTGAGATCCTGGATAACAAGTATGTGATGGCATTTAAGGAAGAAGGAGAGAGAAAGGGTAGTGAAGGAGAGGAGGTCTTGAATCCTGAAAGGTTCAGTTTACCACTGTCTTCAACTTATGAGGCGAGGACATCTTTGTATCTCTGGAGCATTCTTCACCCGGTTCCCTTTTAGAAGATACTGAGCAGTTTTCCAGCTCCAGCATTGTTCCTGATGTCTCTCCAATGTTTACAAATACATCAGATTAACAAGTTGGGAGTGTGGTGTGCTCAGTCTTCTTCCCTTCAACATTAAATTTAATTACTGTGTTCGGATGCTCTTCTATCAATCAAAAATTGATTACTTGTTTTCAATCTTCTTCTTCTGTTATACTATTAACTTCTTTCTGCTGCATTTACACTCTTTTTTCCCTACCATTTATTGTCTGCAACGAATTATGATGCTGTTGCTCTAATATTTCATTTGCTGGTGGTACTAGGAAAAAGTTGAAAGCACAAAAAAACTGAACAGATGTGGTAGTGATATGGTTAGAATGTAGTATTGGTTACATGAAATTGACTGTTATGTCAAGAGAGCTGAAGAGGCAGTGCCAGATGGTATTTCTACATTCAGCTTCAGCGTTGATTTTATGTGCAGTTATTATTCATTCCAACTCCATACATTTGATCATTTGGTGGTCTCTTCCAAGTTCTTGCACTGTAATGCTTCAGATTTTCCCTTTTTCTTATTTGTCTACTTTCTAGTTACGAGTATATTGTCATCATGCAAGTTGATTTCCCTTTTTTATAGTGGTAATGGTAGAAATCCGTATGTTCTTGATGCCTTGGCTGGAGTTGAGAGATTGAAGTGTCATGAATTAGCTGCAGCTGGCAATGTTCATACAAAAAATGTCACTACAGCCGTTCAAAAGTTCTGGAAAGTGATGATTATTAGGAAATAAAGAGTAGATAACAGAACTAAAAAATGTAGACAAAATGAGTCTTTGGAGTCCTTGGCATGAACTTGGTAAACAACGATGAGAAGAACAAGGTTATGATTAGCTTATTATGATTCTGGGAGAGCTTATAAAGATTGGATTCTATATCTGTTGTCATGCCATTTTTATGAGTGTTCACCTACCCTGTAGTCTGTCCAAAGTGTTGATTAAATTGGAAAATCCTAAACACAAAGTTGGAACTTCAGAAGGCTTTCCTGACAGATATTCCTAGTTCTCTATGTATTAAATTGGAAATGGATCATATTGTGGAGTTAAAAGTGGAAAATTTGTAACTCATTTTTCCAATAATCTAAGTAGCTCTGGATGAATTTTGTTGTGATGTGGAAGATCTGAGTCTTATTGCATCTGTTAATCAAACTGCAGCTAGTAAGAGAATGATTAGTTAACTTGGGCATGAAAAGTTTTATTATCCTCTAGGAAGTTGATTTCTCAGTTACTTGCACATCCAAGACAGAAACAGAGGTTTTAACCCTTAACATTTAGTCAATAGGATGTTAAGAACCTACTTATATGAATGGATTAAGGATCATATGCTGGAAAAAGGTGTGATAGCAGCTGTAAATTAAAAATAATACTCAATAAAGAAAGATATCAATCAATAACAAACACTGTTCTTCTATCCATGTTGCTGACTAAAATCAATGAATCATTGATTACAAGAACAAAATTATCTTGTGATCTACTGCAATATGCAGAAAAAATGAAAGAATTCTCAACAAAGAATGTCAACCTAGACATGTTTGACTGAAAAGTCTGCAATTAATTCACTTTTATGCACCAGTAGTAATAGTGCAGGTTGCTGGATACTGCACTGCGTTTGCTTCAACCCTTGATGCATGCTTCATTGCATCAACATCACTGGTAATGCCCTCTTCATCATCAGACCAAGGAGAGAAACATGAACCCTCATCTGATGTGAAGCTCCACTCTTCATAAACTGAGGGATCACTAAATTCATCATCTGTCCCGCATAATGTGACAGTCCATTCCACACTTTCAGCATCCAAAGTCTCCACAAATTCAACGCCATCTAAATCCACTCCTGACACAAAAGGTTCATCCAGCAACATCTCAGCAGTAAACCTGAACATTGGGTTGGCCACAAAACACCTTTTCAAGAAATCCTTAGCGTCCTTCGAAATCTGAGAAGGAATTTTAGGCAATTCATATCCATCACCAATCTTCCTCAGAAGTTCTTCAGTAGTAACATGAGGTTTCAAATCCCAAGCTGGCTTCCCGGTAAGCATCTCAAGAACGACACAACCAAGAGCCCAAATGTCGCAAGGAGGCTCTTGAACATGATTAGCCACGGTCTCTGGAGCCATGTACAAAGCAGTCCCTCTTAAATAAGGGTCAATTTTCATTTTCTTGTTCCTCTTCTCTGATTTCTTCGCCAACCCAAAATCCCCAACCTTTGCCACAAATTCACCTGCCTTCGCACTATTGGAAACAAGCAGTATATTCTCAGGCTTGAGGTCACAATGCACATAACCACGACTATGAATATAACAAATCCCTTCAAGAATAGACCTTGTGTGTCTTTTCACATCCAATTCAGGCAAACCAACACCATCGGATTTCTTGATAAGACAAGCTAAGTTCCCTCCTGATGCATACTCTAACAACACATTATAAAACATCTCGCCATCTTTATTACTAGTAGTTTCTTCACCAAAACACTTGATGATGAAAGGGCATCCATTGAGACAGTTAAATACCTCTTTCTCCTTTTGAAGTGAGCAAGAAGCAGAGACCTCTGCGGACTTGACAGCCATAACTGGAGGATAATAGCCGTTTCTTGATTTGGGGTTCTTTAAACTTGCTAAATAAACTGATCCAAACCCTCCTCTGCCAATAAGTGGCCCTCTTGACCATGCCACTCCACCATTGTTATTGTTGCACTTCATGCTCTCTTCTTCTTCTATGTGTTTTGCCTTTCTCTTCATTGCTAGCAGCTCCTGCTTTTGTTTCCCTGTCTTCTAAGCTAAACGCAACTGAATTGTCAACAAAAAGTCCCTCTAGGGTTTCTGATATACAGGGAAAGCGAGTTTGAAAGCCTTTAACGCGTCTGGATTTGGATTTTCACCGATTGTAAATTGTTTATGTGCTATTTGCAAACCAAACCTCGCTGTATATTCGGATTGCTATGTCGCCAGACGTTGTCGGGAACGTTCAAATTTTATTTTATTTGTTTGCAGCATTTGTCCCTGAGCTATTAAGTTTACGGCACATTGAGGCTTATGGTAACAAATTGATCTTTCTGGCCCCTGAACTATCGTCTTTTGCTTGGCTTCGTTTGATTTCACCGTTAGCTCCAGGTTAACCTTCGACCATTTCTCAAAACCCCTTCCGAGAATGTTCATGATGTTTTGCATTAAGATTTTCACAATGCTAGTAAAAACTAAATCTATTTCTAGAAATGATTTCAACATTTTCAAAATTAGTTTTTTTTTTGTTTTATGATATATTTTAACCCTTTTCCAGTGAAATTTGGGCACTGTTTATTTATTTTCAAAATAAATAATATTTCAAGGATCTAGCTGAGCATTTGTTAGCACAAACATCAATGAATCACAATCTTAAATTACATAAAAAAAAAAAACCTTTAAAATATGTAAAATATCTTAATAAATAAACAAAAAACGACTCCAAAAATAAAACCTTGCTATTAAATTTACTGTGTGGGATTTTGGTTTTGCATGCCATCCATGGTCAAAGAGTCAACTATAGTAGTTAATAGGAGGGAGCACGGTGTGTCGTATCACTAGAACAAGGACTTAAGTGATCACCATAGAAAGTTGAGGGGCTAATTAATGACATCCTCTTAATTAAGTGTTTCTTAAGCTAACTCTTCCAAAGGAGAGGATCTAAATCCCAAGCTGCTAACCTCTTTGAAAGTGCAGCTACAGGGAAGCTGATATCATAAGGCCATGTGCTTATTGATAAATGCCCATTGATAAGTAGCCTACTTTTCACGTACTTTAGCTTCTTCCTCTTTTTTCCCCTCATGCTTAACATTAAATAGTGTATTTTTTTTTAATTAATATAAGTGTGTTTAGGTGAGTTTATATATATTTTAATTAATTTTATAGGTTTTAAAATTAATAACTATGTAAGTTTTTAACAATACTAAGATTTATAAGATTCAAATTAATAATCTCTATAGGACAAATATAGAATTTAACTAATTAAATTATATCTTTTTTTTAAAATAATATATTTATTAATGTAACTAGTGGAAACAATATTTAAATACAAGATATGTTTAAGGTTAAGATTTAAGAATGTAAAGACTATAATTAATGCTCAAAATTAGTTAAGAAATCCAATATTAATATCTCATGTTGATGGCTCATTTAAGTATATTAAAGTCAAGTGAAGTCATTGCAGACCATTTGAAGTCTAATTATGCACTTATACTCTATTTGAGTTGTAATTCAACTTGAGCCACCATTCTTTATTAGGGTTCAAACTTTTTATTTTTAATCATAGATATAAAGAACATTGACTTGATATAAAGTCTAAGTTACTAGTCAAATTAATAAGTTAACTCAAATTATAATTTAAAAAAATAATATTATTTTAATTATTAAAAAAAAACCTAATCAAGTGAATTTCAATATATTTTTAAGCAAACTAAACCGTGTTTTGTGTTTTTAATATTGCACGATGATGGAGCATGTTGATACAACTTGTCCACTAGCAATAAAAGTTAGGCAAACGGTGAAGGTCGATTACTTTCACATTGAAGGACTTGGGAATAATCAAACATCCAGTCTAGATGATTTCCCGACGAAGCTATTGCTTTGCGAAGTCAGATCTCAATGCACAGCTGGCACTTGTGACTCCAAGCAAGCACGCAGAAATTCCTCGTCGAATTTTGCGTGCCTTTTTGCCTGTGCAGTAGAAGAACTGCTTCCACAATTGTCGTGGCATGCTTTTTAAAGTATTTTTTATTATAAAATATATTAAAATAATATTATTTTTTTTAAAAAAAATAATTTTGATATTAATATATCAAAAAAATTTAAAATATATATAAAAATATTTTAAAAAATAAATAATAAAATATTATTTAAAATAAGACAATTCAATTCAGTGAAAAAATAAGAGATGGGGTCTAATACCACATTTTATTTTCTATTTCAATTTTTTTTTATTTTGACTGGTCAATTAAAAAAATATGGATTTTTTCAATTGAGAAACAAGAAGCCCTTCAAGGTAGTAACTACTGTTATAAAAAATTGAAATCATCTTATTTTTTTATACCTATGATAATCTAACTATAAAATATTATTTTTGTTTCTTTTAAATTAAAATTTAACTCGGAAAAGTTAACTCCAAGGAAAAGATTTTTAAAAAATAAATTTATAATAAAAATGAATAAATTCATGATGTTGATCAAATATGAAAATGCAAAACAAAAGAATAGTGATGTTTTATATTACTACAAGTGTTTTTTTTATATAAAAGAAGGATACGTTATTGCTAATATTTCTTGTCATTTAGAAAAAAAATGCATAAAACTAGATTTTTAATTCTTGGATACATTGTATTTGAATAAACTCGAAAAGTTTTTTTTTTCTTAGTTGTATAGATGTATTGCATTTAAATAATAAACTTTATATTTTCTTTGTTGATTTTTTTAAATTAAATTATTATTTCATTTATAAATAGCCTTAAAGTGACGGCTAATGATTTTTATTATTCATTAAATTAAAAAAATACGCCTTCATCATGGTTACTTTTTTTTATTGCAAGAGGAGTGTTTAGTAAGGTTATTTCTTTTGTTTTCCTTTCTTTCGGCGCACTTAAAATGGGCTTAAAAAATAGCTTGTTGAGTTTGGGCCACCTGGTAATGACTCTAGTATAGAAGAGTTTCTCGTCGATTTTTCAACCATCTTTCGCTTTCATTGCAACACCCAAACCGTTTGGGCCTGGCTCAAATAGCTAAACCAGCACATGGGAAATCCCGATTCTAGCCTCAACGCGCTTTAGTATAATATTTCAAGCTGGAAGCGTACACGAATTAATTCTCTCTTGAATTTAATGACTCTAGTATAGAAGAGTTTCTCGTCGATTTTTTTTTATGTATACTTAAGCCTGAACCCGAAAACGCAGCTCATACATCTAGATCCAATTTCGCAAGCCATAAAAGCAAGTGTTTGCGGACTGCATCACTTTCTTTTAAGTATAAAAGTGAAATTTCATGCTCACCGTAAAAACATATACAGTGATATAAATCAGTACAAGAGGCACCGCCAGAAAAACCTTGTCTGTGTTGAATCTGTTAACTTGTATTAGGATTCCTATAATTTACGGGATTCTTACAATATTTAGTTTTCTAGTTTAGGAAGTAATTAGTCCTTCCTTATTCTGTTAGGAAAGTGTAGGGTTGTATATATATACCTGTTGTATGATGGAAAAAAAAGGGAGTATAAGAAAGCATTATTTTCTTCTTGGTATCAGAGCTGAAATAGAAAAGAAAACACTGAACCCTAAATATTTTCGCTTCCTGCCGTATCTCTAAGTAATTGCAGCGAGCAACTTAGAGTTGTTGCTGCCGGTTTCAACGAGCAACTGTAAAGTTGTTGCTGCCCCTCCCCTGCTTTGTAAGTCTGTTTGTATTGTTCCAAAATCTATCAAAACTGCAAGTTTTAGGCTATACCAACAGTAAGAGAGATGGCTGAAGAAAAGGGGGCCGGTTCTCAAGATGCTCTAGCAGCTGCTCCAATCATGGTGCAGACAGAAAATTCAAGCTTTAATATTGGTATGGTTTTGGATGAAAAAAACTATGATTTATGGGCTCCTCTCATTCAGATCCATATTGCTGGAAGGAAGAAGATGAGATATCTCCGTGGGTCGATCAAGGCACCTCATGAAGACGATCCTAAATATGATGACTGGTTCTCTGAAGATCAAAAAATCAAGAGTGGGCTTTTGTCTTCAATGAAGCCTGAGATTATGAAACGGTACATTCGGTTGTCTACATCAAAGGAGATTTGGGACTCCCTTAAAGCAGCTTACTTTGATGAGAATGACGAGGCTAGAATTTATTCATTGAATCAAAAGGCATCACGTCTTCGTCAGAATAGCCGACCTTTGGCAACCTATTTTGGGGAGCTAACTGAGATTTTCCAAGAATTGGATCACTTTAATAGAGTATCCATGGAGTGTGAAAACGACATCAAGATATTTCAGAAATCCACTGAGAGACAACGAGTCTATATATTTCTTGGTGGTCTTGATGACAGGTTTGATCAGGTACGTGGAGAAGTGCTACGGAAGGATCCCCCACTTGGCCTTCAGGCTTCTTATGCATATGTTCGTCGTGAAGCTGATAGGAAGGAAGCAATGAAGATGGAGGTTGACAAGAGTGAACCTGCTGCCATGGCAACAAAAACCCGTGGATCATCCTCTGGGTTGAACCGAGGAGGGTCACAAAACCGGCCAGGACAAACTTGACCTAGCCAGCCAAGCTGGGATCGTTCCCAAGGAAAATGCCCACACTGTGGCCTGCCAGGACACTCTAAGAGTCATTGTTTTGAGCTGATTGGATATCCTGAGAATTGGGATAAAACCCGTGATCCTCGGTGCGACAAGTCACGAGCCTCTATTGCAGAAACCAGGATGGATTCGGACCAGATAGCAGACAAGGCATCTGCCATGGTTGCTGCAACAGGTAGAGATGGTAAGGCACTAAGTACTTCTACTTCTGTTATGAATAATACATGGATAATTGATTCCGGAGCTACTGAACATATGACTTGCGATTCTAGACAGGTTCCATCACTAAAAACATCAGCCCAAACTGAGGTCAATGTTGCTAATGGTAATGTCGTTCCTGTTATTGGGGAAGGCATTGTTTCCCTTACTGATACCATGGAACTTGACACTGTTCTTGTAGCTCCCTCTTTAAACTATAATTTGTTGTCTGTTGCTCAAATAACCCTTACCTTGCATTGTTTGGTTATTTTTTGGCCATATTTTTATGTTTTTAAGGATATCCAGACGCGGAAGACGATTGGTTATGGTATTAGAAGAGAAAAACTTTATTACTTGGAACTGACCACCAGCAGTTCTAGCTTGTTGACTCAAGCTCCTTCCAGTTATGGGTCTCAAAGGAATGCTAATAAAGTGTCAGATATCTGGATGTGGCACAGACGTCTTGGGCATGCTTCTTTCAGCTATCTACACAAGTTATTTCCAAATTTGTTTGTTAGGACTGATGTTTCTCAATTTAAATGTGATGTTTGTGAAATGACTAAGAGCCATCGAACCTCTTTTCCTCCAAGTTTCAATAAAAGTACCATTCCTTTTATGATTGTACATTCTGATGTACGGGGACCGTCAAAAATATCTACTCTTGGTGGTGCTCACTGGTTTGTTACTTTTATTGATGATTGTACCAGAATGACTTGGGTCGCCTTGTTAAAATCAAAAAGCGAACTCAGTTCAGCCTTTCAGAGATTTCATAAAATGATTATGGTGCAATACAGCAGCAAGATCCAAGTTCTTAGAAGTGATAATGGCGGTGAATATGTTAATTTAGAACTTCGTTCCTTCTTGGAACTGCATGGTATTGTTCATCAGACCACGTGCCCATATACTCCTCAACAGAATGGGGTTGCTGAACGGAAAAATAGACACCTGTTAGAAATGGTTCGTGCTTTACTCATTGCAGCACATCTGCCTCTACAGTATTGGGGAGAGGCGTTTACATCTGCAGCTTATCTTATTAATCGTCTTCCTTCTCATAATATCAACTTCCATACACCATTTCAGGCTCTCACATCTCAGATTAGCAGTCCACCGACTCCCAATCTTCCCCCACGGGTCATGGGGTGTGTAGCTTTTGTTCACCTGCATCCTTCTCAACGGCATAATAAACTTGAGCCTCGCGCCATTCGTTGTGTTTTTTTGGGCTATGCTACTACCCAGAAAGGATATCGTTGTTATCATCCTTTGAGTAAAAGAATGTTTATTACACTGGATGTGAATTTTTATGAGAATGAAATGTTTTTTGGACCCTCCACGTCCTCACTTCAGGAGGAGTATCGAAGCAGTGAAGTTCTAACCCGAGATAATACTGAAGTTTTGACATTTGATTACTCTCTTGTGGCTAGAAACGAGCTACACAAAGAGCAACCAGTGCAGTCATCATGCCTGGAGTACACAGCACCTAGAGAAGAGCAGCAATCCACATGTTATGGTGATCAGGCTACCAAAAACAGCGACTCTGATGAGCAACAAACATTGCAGGAGGAAGAACAGCCTACTGGTCCCACAAGGTTGGGGCTTGATAATGAGCTGCAGCCTATTACTTACAATAGAACCGAGCAACAACTACAGCAATTGTCACAGGATTTTCCTTCTGATGGTATACATGATCCAAGTATGAACTCATCCTCTGTTAATTCTCATAACCAATCGTCTCTCACACCGGATGCAATTTCACCCCGTCACCTTCCAAAGCGTATTAATCAAGGTATTCCCAAACCTATTTATGAGGCAGATCTTAAATGTAAACACAAGTATTCCATGAGTGAACCAAATTCTGATTCAAGAGTGAGATACCCATTAAACAATTATGTGTCTACCGGTCACCTATCAGAATCAAATAAGTCATTTGTATATCAATTATCTACTGTATCTATTCCTAACAGTGTGCAGGAGGCCTTAGCAGATTCCCGCTGGAAAGATGCAATGAATGAAGAATTGAGATTGTTGAAGAAGAATGCTACCTGGGAAATAACTGACTTACCAGCTGGAAAGAAATCTGTGGGATGCAAATGGGTTTATACAGTGAAATACAAAGCAGATGGAACAATAGATCGCTTTAAGGCAAGATTGGTGGCAAAGGGATATACACAGAAATATGGCATTGACTACACTGATACATTTGCACCAGTGGCAAAAATCAACACAGTTCGTGTTCTACTATCCTTAGCAGCAAATCTAGATTGGCCTTTGCAACAGTTTGATGTAAAAAATGCATTCCTCCATGGAGATTTAACTGAGGAGATTTACATGGACCTTCCACCCGGATGGAGTGATCCAGACAAATGGAAACCAAAGGTATGTAGACTTAAGAAATCATTGTATGGGTTGAAGCAGTCTCCACGAGCCTGGTTTGGTAGGTTTACCAAATCAATGAGAGCATTCAGGTATAGACAAAGTAATTGGGATCACACGTTATTCTTGAAACACCGGGATGGAAAGGTTACAGCTCTCATTGTATATGTGGATGATATGGTAGTTACTGGTAATGATCCTACTGAGCAAGCAGCCTTAAAAAATTATTTGTCCACAGAATTCGAAATGAAAGATCTTGGTTCTTTAAAATATTTTCTTGGGATTGAAGTGTCGAGGTTCAAGTCTGGGATATTTCTATCGTAAAGAAAGTATGTTCTTGACCTATTAAAAGAAACCGGTATGACAACATGCAAGCCGGTATCCACTCCGTTGGCTGAAGGAATGAAGTTGGGTATTGATCAGACCCAAGGATCGATTGATAAAGGGAGGTATCAACGGTTAGTAGGATCGATTGATAAAGGGAGGTATCAACGGTTAGTAGGAAGATTGATGTACTTGGGTCACACTAGACCAGATTTGGCTCATGCCTTGAGCGTAATTAGTCAATATATGCACAATCCAGGAGAACAACACATGAGTGCAGTCATGAGAATATTGAGTTACTTGAAAGGAAGCCCTGGTAAAGGAGTTTTATTTCGAAAAAATAGGCATTTCAAAATTGAGTGCTATACGGATGCTGATTGGGCTGGATCCACAGATGATAGGCGTTCGACATCCGGGTATTTTACCTTTGTTGGAGGAAATCTAGTAACGTGGAGAAGTAAGAAGCAAAATGTTGTATCAAGATCAAGCGCAGAAGCTGAATTTAGAGGCATGACACTCGGTATCTGTGAACTCTTGTGGCTTAAGTTTCTATTACAAGATATGGGGATCAACCATAGCCAATCGATGAAGTTATTTTGTGACAATAAAGCTGCTCGTGATATTGCTCATAATCCAGTACAACATGATAGGACCAAGCATGTAAAGGTTGATCAGTTCTTTATTAAAGAAAAGCTAGATAACAAAGTAACTGAGGTTCCTCCCATAGGAACAGACGACCAAGTAGCAGATATTCTCACTAAAGTGGTTTCTAGTAACAAGTTCTCCAGGTTTTTAGATAAGTTGGGCATGTGTGACATCTATGCACCAACTTGAGGGGGAATGTTAACTTGTATTAGGATTCCTATAATTTACGGGATTCTTACAATATTTAATTTTCTAGTTTAGGAAGTAATTAGTCCTTCCTTATTCTGTTAGGAAAGTGTAGGGTTGTATATATATACCTGTTGTATGACGGAAAAAAAAGGGAGTATAAGAAAGCATTATTTTCTTCTGAATCAAGCTTTCATGGAGGCGCCATGGAGTTGAATTCACCGGTATGAAGTCTAACAAGACGTAAATATCCTGTGTAATCTTGAAATTTGAGTATCTAAAAGGGTAAGAACTTGACAAATAAGAGAGAACTTGCACCGTCTCTGTTAAAAAATCACATATCGGCAGGGTCATAGGATAGAGGGGGCCGAAGGCCTTAAAAAATCCTTGCACCACTACTCCATGAGCACCATCCACTTGATGATGGAGTGTAGATCTAATCTAAAAGTAAAAGTGAAGAATAAATTTGATTATGAAAATGCAATTTGCGAACTAGGAGCGCCTAACTCACGCAGAACAGCTCAAAAAAGCTTGCAAGAGGATCGAAAAAGGGGGATAGCCACAAACTTCCCCAAAGAGCGTGGGTCCTAAAAGATATTGGCATTCTTTTTTATTTTTTTGGAAGGGTATAATGTGGTGGCTTGCATGCACCATGCCAAATCTTCTCTCTCTAAACAAGACTCTCAAGAGCATGCCCTGCGGTCTGTGACAAATAATATTAGTGGACAAAGGAATTCGAATCAGAGATCACGAAGAGAAGATACCTCTTGGACCCTAGCTCTTCACCAACTCAACCACCTATTCCAAGCCTAGTGGAGGCTTTCATTTCCATCAAATTCTCCATTTGTGATGATGATGAAGAAATGATAACGGGACAGCCAAAAACAATAGACAGACTTGCGCAGAAATTTTGCTACTTTCTGTTCCATGAAAACGACAGATCATTCCCGTTGTTTTTGGTTGATATGATCAGGATTGGCATCTTGTTCCAGAAGGACAAGCCACAGACAGTGGCCTTAGTCATCTGCACTCGAAGAACACTAAGAATGTCAACTGAGATCTTCTAGAAACAAGTTTTACTCCTATCACACAAAAATGTCAACTGCAGTACCCGAAACAAACACATCTTGCATCCACGATGAACAGGGTAAAGAAATGTCACATGCAACCTCTTTGTGCGTGTATCACATGCATATGCAACTGTGCAGGCAAAGTAAAGCATATTTCAACAGTAAAGGTTGAAATTGCGCGTGCC